CAGGAGGTAGTGAGCTTCCTATGTGAGTTTGTGTGCAATTAGAGGTTGTATGCCAGTGAGCCCCTTGCAGCCCCAAGATCCCAGGGTTTAGGTGCCCCCCCAGACCCATCTCGTCTGCTGTCACCTGCTCCCTGGCATCCCATGTCATCCAGACTGGAGTGTCAGTGGTGACAGAGAACATCAGAGTATCTGGTCTGGAAAAGTATGCCTGGGAGTGGGGCTAGCCCAAGGCCATAAGCTATGACAGAACAGGATGTGAACCACCATCTGACATGTTACTGCATCCCTCTTTGTGGGCAAAGGGAAACCTTAGTTGTTGGGAGTAGATGCTTGGTGCCACAAAGAAAAATTAGCACTGAGACAAAGGATTTTTCAGCAATGCAATTTTTACTTCCTGGAATGCGGGAAGGGTACTCTCACTAGCCATCTTGCCATGAGAGAACAATGAACAAAGGAAAGCACACATATTTATATCCCTTACACATTTGGAGTCATCCTTACTTCTGTGTCTGATCTCCATTGGCTGGAGCCAGACCTCACAATCTAATCTAAAACCTGATTGGCTAACAACTTTAAACTTTTCTAAACAAGTAAAAGCAATGGAGAGCTGGGACATGCCTGTGAACAGATATCCTGCACAGATATCTTGGTTAAAGTATAAGGACATAGAAGGTACTATGTGTCTGTAAGCATGGCATGCTTTGAGGTGCATGGCCTGGTGTTTTGGGGCAGCCCACTCTGAAGCTGCTGCCACGAACCCCAGGGCACAGTCCATCACCCCCAAGCCCCAGATCCTACTTGTCCACCACCACCACTTCTTGGCCCTGTAGATTGCACAGGTCTGGCTGCTCAGAGGAAAATCAATGGTAGCAGCCCCGCACAATCCCACTGCTGGATGGTAGGAGAAAGAGCCATGTCTGGCTGGCTCTGCTGCCTGCTGGCTGTGAGTCCCTGGGCATCTGCAGTCTTTGGTTTCCTCACCTTGTAAAGGGTTCTGTTGGGTTCCAGGAGAAACACAGATGAGACAGCAAAAGTGTGGAGCACAATGGGCCTGCATGCAGTCCAGGTTAGACTCTTGCCTTTGTTGATTACCAGCCAGGCTCTTCCTATCCCTGAGCCCCAGTCTTCTGCAGGGCATCAGGGCACCTAGGTTTTCAACACAGGTTGAAGCTAATCTGGCCACTGCTGCTTGCCCCCTTTCTTGACTTCAACTGAATGACAAAGCTGCTCGAAGTCTCAGTGTTTACATCTATAAAATGGGGTTAAAGAACTGCTGACCCAGACACTGGGTTTAGAGTGCTTTGCACATTATCATTATCCTTAATGTCCTTGTCATCCATGTCATAGTTTTTTGAGTGCTCACTTTGGGGCAGGGCCTGAGCCTCTGGGCTTTGACTCTCCAGCTTTCTGCCATATATACCCAGCCACAGCCCAGAGGCCGCTAGAGCAGGGGTCCCAACTAATGCCTCTGTTCTGTTGGGAGAGCCCCAGTTGGTGCCCACTTGCTCACCCTGCACAAGTCAAGCTGGGCCAGCCCCTCATCACTGGGGCCTGGACCTGGATGTGAGCTCAAAGGCTACAGTGGGGTATGGAAGTGGGGAGGTGATGGGTGTGCAGGGTGTAGTGCTCAAATGCCTAGTCCAGGGTCTGGGTTTCATACTGGGAATGGCAAGGGCATCAAGGGTTCCTGTAGCTCTTCAGAGAGCCCGCAGGGTGGGCAGGTGACAGATGGTGTCCACGAGGGCATGGACTCAGGGGCGCCTGCGACCTCCAAGAGCGTCCCGGCTGGCAGGGAACCGCGCAGTCCCCGAAGGCCGCGAGGTCAGAAAGCACTCAGACGCCCGCGCAGCCCTAAGCTTTGGCGCAGCCCCGGGGGCGGAGCGCCAGGAGTCTGCATCCTCCGAGCGACAGTGCGCTCATCCAACGGGATCCCGGCATGCGGGCGCCGCCCCGCCCCTCGCCGCACGGCCCAATGGTGAGCGCGCCGGCTGCGGGCGGGGCGGGGACTGGGCTGGCGGCTGTGGTGCGCGGGCGCGGCACCCGGAAGTCGGCGGCGGCGGAGGCGGTGAGTGCGCGGCTGGCTGCCGGGGCTGGCGGACTCAGCTCCTGGCCGGGCCAGCCTGGGCTCAGGGGCATCGGGCTCCGGGCTCTGGGTGCGCGGACGGGGCCAGGCTGCTTGAGGGTGGATGGGTTGGCCGCACCTCCTCGCCCAGCCTCAGTTTCCCCTCTCTGAGGTATGGAATAGAGTCAAGCGGCTGGGTCAGGGGCGATCACGTCGATCCCGGCCGACGAAAATGCCCCCCGCGTTACTAGAAGGCGTTTTTAATAATCTCCGCTGGCATGGGGTGCGAGGGACTCTGGCAGCTTGGACCAGACTCGCTGCGAGGAGGCTGAGACTGGCAGGGCTGGGAGCTGCGTGGTACCTGCAGGGTGGGTGGGCTGCGGCCTTGGCCAGCATCAGGGACAGCTCTGGCGCCCTGAGACACGCTGTCCCCTACCTGCGGCTTGCTGCAGGCCAGCAGGGTGACAGCTAATGTGGGTGTAAGTAGATAGCAAGTGCTGGGTCATCCCTGTGACTTGATGCGGCCTTCCTGGGGTGGATTGGGTAGTTGGATCCCCCCACCCCCACATCCAGAGCATCAGCAGTAGGGGGTGGCAGGGCTGCACTCAGGCCGGTCCTTGCCCCACTGCTGGGCTTTGCAGTAGCCTGGGCTTTGCCCGTTTTTTTCTAGGGAAGTGGACACAGAAGGCTGTTTGCTGAGACCCTCCACATTCCCTGCCTGCAGCACCTCTCCTTTGCTCCCTTGGCTTCCTGCTGGGCCACAAGCTTTAGAGTGAACCATCTGCCCTTGCACAAGTCCCTGGGCCTCAGGCCCCCTTGCTCTTCAGGAATGTCACATGCCCTGCACTGGCCAGGCCTGTCTGCACTGACCAGGCCTCTCGTGTGGCTCCAGACCTGTTGACCACTGTTTTGCTGCCACTCTGGGTGCAGAGCCCTTCCATGAGGCAGATGTGACGGCAGCTGTGAGGGGTAGCTGAGTAGCTCTTTGGAAGGCTTTCTCACGCTAGCTCATTTGCCTTTGGGCAGCGTTTTGAAGCAAGCATTCGTTGATCCAATCCTGCTCACACAAGGAAAACTCAGGCTAAGGGGGTAGATGTTCCCAAGGTCATTCAGAGCAGGGGCCAGCTCCCAGTGCCTCTGCTACTCCTGGACCACTCTCCTAGGAGTCTTCCTGTATCCGTGTCCTGTTGGTGGGCTGGGGGCAGCTGGAGAGGGTGACTGTGTTGTCAGATGGACACGGCAGAGCCTCTTTTCCTCCCCTCAGGATCCTAGTGCTCTGGTGGTGCAAGGTGGGGTGCCGTGGTGCCCCCACCCCTCGGGCCTCTACACAGCTTTGTGTTACTTGCGTGTCCTCAGACTGCAGTCCCCTCAGACCAAGCCCCTGCCTGCTGTGATGTGTGGTGGCCATAGCATTTCCCTGAGCTAAGATGACCAGCTGTCAGCTCTGCCTGGGCTGCCCAGCCCCTTGTGCTTGGTTGGTGTCTTCACTTGTGGTCTGTTATGCTGATTACGTTTTGCAGTGTATGTAATCATGTGCAGTGTCCTGGGAACTTGATCTTGTGCCTGGCTTCTGCACTAGACAGTGAACTTGGAGGGTACCCTGGTGCCCATCCAAGAGTACTGCTTCTGTAAACATCCATGGAGAGATAAGGGGCTTCTCAGGGACCCCAGAAGGGGTCTGGAGAGAAACGGCCAGGACAGGGAGGCTGGGAAGACTTATCGAAGCAGGGCCATGCTTATCATTGACACTCCAGATGCGTGAGAAATAGGGCCCATCCTTTGGTGATGTGGCAGTCAGTACATGGCAGCAGCATGGCAGAGCCCGGCCTTTGTTGGCCCCTACCATAGGGATAGGCTCCCTGAAAAAACAAGGTCAACCCAGAAGGACTGAGCTGCCTTTTGAGGTTATCACAGCAGCTTTTTCCCCTTTTTCTCTTAACTTTGTTTTTAGATTGCAAAAATAGTTTATGCATGCTTAAAAATAAAAAAAGGCCGGCCTCCATCTCCTGGCAGCTGCTCCCATGGTGTACCTGCTGACATTTGGGGGCACATCCGTCAAAGTCTTCACTGCCATACTTACTTGAAGCGCTTGCCTTCACCCTCTTTGCAGGCATGGTAGGAATGCCCCTTTTTTTACTAACCACTCAGGCCACGGGGACTGCTGCGAGACTGGCCTGTCCCTGGCTTGTGGAGAAGCTGAGTGTTCCTGCCAGGGGGGCCTGAGGGTGGGGCCACCCTATGTCCAGAGCTTTCTGTGTGCTCATGATGCCTCTTATTTGTGCTACTCCTTGGAACTGGGAAGAGACAGTGATCCTCTGGTGTGAGGCTGAAGTTATGCCCTGGAAGCAGTGTGAAGTTCTTCTGAGGAGAGAGTACCACTGTAGAAAATGTGTCATGATAAAATACCATTTAGGCTGGGCGCAGTGGCTCAGGCCTGTAATTCCAGCACTTTGGGAGGCCAAGGCGGGTGGATCATCTGAGGTCAGGGGTTTGAGACCAGCCTGGCCAACATGGTGAAACCCGGTCTCTGCTTAAAAAAATACGGTAATTAGCTGTGTGTGGTGGTGGGCGCCTGTAATCCCACTTGGGAAGTTGAGGCAGGAGAATCGCTTGAACCGGGGAGGTGGAGGTTGCAGTGAGCTGAGATTGTGCTACTGCACTCTAGTCTGGGCAACAAGAGCAAGACTCCATCTCAGAAAAAAAATGCCATTTAATAGCCAAACAGACAGTGTAGATTGGTGAGCTCTTGCTGCGGAGGTGGGAGGAGAGCAGGGCATTGCAGTGGTGTGGTCACTCAGAGGGTTTCCCGACGTTAGGGCTTTGTCCGCCAAGACTCCGGGAACAGCGACACTGTGTTCCCATGTGTGTTTACCTCCTCTTCTGGCAGCTACTGGGAGCCTGCGTCACATGTCTGTGTCTGCCTTGTCCTTTGAAAAGAGCAGCTCAAGCTTTTGAGCTCTGCCCCGGGGGCTGCCACAGCTGGTAGGGTGGGGATTACAAGGGATGGGGATTGGGCTTCCAGCTGCTCAGCCCTGCTCACCAGCTTTTGTGGCCATTGAGGCCATTAAATGGGGGCAGCAGACTGTAGGGCTCAGTCGCCCTCTGTTCAGAGACTCACCACGTGCAGCCCTGATAGGAGACTGACTTGATGGCCACCTTCCCAAGTGTCTAGGTCCCCTTGGCCCTGTGGTACAAATACCTTGCCTTTCCCTTGTGTGCCCTCCTGCCTGTCACTACTGCTTTCTGTTTCTCACACCTTCCCTCTGCCCACGTGCTATTTTTGCTTTTTCAGCTGTCCAAGGGAAGTGCTTCCACCCAGAGTGTGTGTCCCATCACCTGTGGCCCCCAGGGTCTCCAGATGTGGCGTTGCTGTGACACCCAGCTGCACCCCATCCTGTGCAGAGCTGTCTTGCACTGGGGCTGATTGGGTCTTATCTTGCTTTCTGTAAACAAGTGACTCTTGGGTTCTTCCCTTTCCTTCCCTCACTTCCCCACCCACAGAAATGTCCCAGCCCCACTAGGGAAGGAGGGCAGGATCTGTGCATTTTCTTTTATTTTTCTTTTTGAGACAGAGTCTTGCTTTATTGCCTCAAAAGGCTGAGGCGGGAGAATCAACTGAACCTGGGATTATACGCATGAGCCATCGTGCCCGGCCAAGTTTTGGACTTTTACTAAATTTGTTACTAAATATTTTTTTCTTTTCTTTTCTTTTTTTTTTTTAAGGAGTTTCGCTCTTACTGCCCAGGCTGGAGTACGGTGGCATGATCTCAGCTTACTGCAAACTCTGCCTTCCAAGTTTAAGTGATTCTCCTGCCTCATCCTCCTGAGCAGCTGGGATTACAAGCGTGTGCTACCATACCTGGCTAATTTTTGTATTCTTAGTAGATATGGGGTTTCACCACATTGGCCAGGCTAGTCTCAAACTCCTGACCTCAGGTGATCTGCCCTCCTCAGCCTCCCAAAATGCTGGGATTACAGCCCTGAGCCACCCCAGTCAGCCAAATATTTTATTCTTTTTAATGCTCTTTAAGTGGAGTTGTTTCTTAATTTCATTTTGCAATGTTCATTGTGTTCTTTTTTTTTTTTTTTAGTAGAGACAGGGTTTCTCCATGTTGGTTAGGCTGGTCTCAAACTTCCAACCTCAGGTGATCCACCCACCTCGGACTCCCAAATTGCTGGGATTACAGGCTTGAGCCACCATCCCTGGTTCATTGGTAACTCTTTAGAAGCAACAGCAGATCTCCAGTTTATCCCAGGGAGGTGATGGTTGAGTCCTTGATTGTTAGGCGTAGCACACGGGGGTCTTTTCACTCACTGGACCACTTCACTAGTCTAAAGTTTGAGAACTTCTGCTCTAATTTGCATGACTTCCCCCATTTAGGGAGAATTGACGTGTTCTCCTGGAAAAATCTTTAAAGAACATATTTTAAAAGTTAGGGATTTAGTGTAGTTAGGGCTAGGCCAGTTCAAACAGGTGTTGTTTTGACAATAGTAACAATCATTTTTTGCTCATTTATTCCCCCTAAGCCATTTAGGTACATTATCCCTAGGTGAAGAATTCTGAGGCTCAGCTGCAACATACAAGCAATTTGCTCAGGGTGTTATAGCTGCTGAGTAGCAGTGCCAGGATCCCAGGCAGGTGTTTCTAACTTTAGAGAAATGGGCATACAGTACTAACTTGGTGCCAAACACTGTTAGAAATTCATTACATTTACTAACTTAAAACACCCCAGGAAGCAGAAACTATAATCCTCATTTTTCAGATGAGGAAACTGAGGCACAGAGGAGTTAAGTGACTTGCCAGAGATCAGAGACCCAGTATGTTATATAACTGGGATTTGAACTCAAGCCATTGAGTCGAGTGTAGCTGTTGGCCATGACACTGTACTGACCTCTCCAAAACCTCAGCCTTTCCACCCACCTGCCTCAGCTGCCCCTGGAAGTAACTCTTGATGTCTTCAGAGTTCAGAGTTTTGAGAGAAGTTGGAGGGGATAAACTAGAGTAGAAATTAAACCTGTTCAGCTTTTTCTTGTTCTGCCACAGTGCCATGTGCTTTGGCCTCACTGCTCACCCGGTTGTAACATAATTCATGATGGTGTAAACCTGAGCCTTTTCCCTCTTGCGTGACTCTTCACTGTCAGATGAGCTGGTGTTGTAATGCAGAGGACGCA